TTCCTCATAAGAGATTCTAAATTTCTTTTTTTTAAATGCACACAAATGAGTAACTTCAGTCTCCTTAGAAACTTCTGAAACCTACCCTCTGGACATCAAAAAGGTAATGGCGCTTCTGAACCAGTGCCTGCTGTGACTTCTCCATATCAATCGCATCCTGGATTTGTTTGATGGAAGCTTGCTTCACCTCTTCTAATCGGGCAATTTTTTGCTGCAATTATGATTTCAACAAGAAAGATCAGTGAAAACACCAAGGGTAATAAAAACATATTCATTTTTATGCTTCCTCAAAGTTGTATTTCTTATTTGTGAAAACACTAAGAAACATACATAGGGAGAAATGCACAAATCCTTGAAAAGAATTACCCATAATAGCTATGCAATATCTTGTTGAATGACTAAAACTATAGAAAAGCTGAAAGGTTTGGTAGATTCAAAAAAATTTATCTAAAATTAGTAACTAATATTGACACTTATGATTATACTCATTATAATCAGATTCATTTCTATGTTCTTCCTCTAATGCTCGTATAAAAATTATCACTAGATGGCCTTGATGTTTCTGCTAGTCTAAAATGGGGAAATAACATTTATGGTTCTTACCTCATTGAGTTTATCAGCAAATTCTCCAACAGAGGCACCATATTTTTTAATTACATAGACAAGTAACCCTACTACTGATAGAGCAGTGAAGGTCTCTGGGGAAATCACATATATCTCTTTGGATAGAGAATACAAGATAAGCCCAGTTCCAAGCACATAGGGTCCTAAAAGAAGAAGAGAGAGTTATTTTATGATATGCTATGCCTAAAAGGGGAAAGATAGAAAGATACTTCTGTATTTGATTAGCTGAAAGCAAGGTTATGTAATAATTTTAAATAATCAAAGACAAGCTACTGGATTGGGAAGCAGTATGGCAGAGCTAAAAGAACAAAAATCTGAACTCAAGGAAACTGTATCCTGACTCTACAACTTATAAGAAACTGAGCAATCTAAATAATCTCTGAACTTAGTTTCCTCATCTGTAAAATGGGAACAGTACCTTATTTAGTTTGATAAAGTTGAGGAATAATATATGTAAAATACCTAGCACAGTAACTCAACAAACAGGAACTATTCTACAAAGATGGGTCAGGTTACTTTCTGAAGTAATTTGTCCGGCAAAATATACTATTTATTGAATGGGAACACTGGGCAGGATAAAATTTATCCACTCTTACTTACAACTATACATGTACATATATACATGTAAAAGGAGGAATTTAATAATAGGAATCTCAACTCCTGTAGCACCTAATTATAATACTTCAAATTTATCTTTTTTTCTTTAACCAGGTCATGAGTTCTGAAAGGACAAAAACCATGATTTTTTTACATTTCCTTAGGATTTTCCTCTGTGTCTCACAAGATGTTAGGGCCCAAGCAGGACTTTAGGGCAGCATTTTACAGTGTTTTTGAGAATCACTACTATCAAAGGATGGTAGGATGTATTATGAAAATAACAGGGTGTCAGTCTCAAATATATTTTACCTAGAGTTTCCCATCAAAGGTTCAGCAGTTTTCTTTTTAAATTGCCTTTAACATATAAATTTTAAATGTGAATTTGCAAGAAAGGCATACCACATGTAATATTTTTATCACTTATGGAGACCTGAGGACACTAATGTTTCTTGAAATTTCAGTTAGAAAAATGCTACTCCAGGGCTAAAAAAAATATCTTTGGTTTCCAATGTTCCACATTTATAGCGGTATACTTGGGTACAGCAAGAAAGGCAGTATGTGTAGCAGAAAGAATTCTAAACTTAATCAGGTTCAAGTCTAGCTCAGTCACTAAAGAGACTAATATAATCTCAGCAAATTATTTGTTTTCTAGTTCCTCTGGGTAATAAAAATGTCTTCATAGGACTGTTGTAAAGATTAAATAATGTAAGTAAATCATACTGCATTATCAAAAAGCATGGTTTTGAATGTTTATGCTGTTTTAAAAGGAGAAAAACTGATAAAAATGGTCCAATTTGTGTTCATGTCCATATATACTCAATTTATTAGTCTCTATTGCTTTACCTGGCTTTATTTTCATCCATAGCTCTTTTTATTATCCGACAGTACATTATACAATTACTCATTTCTTTACTGTCCATCCTGCAACAGAATGTATGTCCCATGATGGTAAGCACTTAACATAGTTCAACACTGTATGCCTAGAACTATGCCTGGCATAGAGGAGGCATTCAAAACTTTAGTGTACAAACAGAGACAATGTTGCAAGATTAAGTTAAAATCCCAAATAAATTTAGGCCAAAGACAAGTTGGAGCAACCAAATCAATTGTTATATTGAATCACTTCAACAATTTCCTTTTAAAAATAGCTGACTTGATTTTCGTGTACCATCCAAACATACTATCAAAGACTAGGCAAATGCTCACCTGTTACACCGGTTTTAGGATAAAGAAACTGGAAGAATTCCTCAGGGATCAGCCCAAGACGAACTTTTCCTCCATATTCAGGAAGAGGTGGTACAGGGGCAAGACTTGGCTGTCCTGTGTGAAAGATTCTTGTTGCTTGCAATACCCTACAGGTAGCAATTGCACAAATGTAAAACCTATTCTTTAAAGAGAACGAATGTATAAACAATTAGCAAAAACAATTATTGGGGCTGAGGACAGGCAGTTTCCTATTAACTGACATAATGGAAAGAAAATGGACTTGGAATAGGAAGGTTAGGGTCTAATAATTAGCAGTGACAAGGACAATGACTTAATCACAGACACTTAAAGTCATATGAAACCTTCTACCTAGTACTGGAATGTTTTCTATAAGTCTCACAGATCATCTGTCTAGCACCTTGTATATCTATTATTAGCACTGAAGTATATAAGAACAAGGACTCAGCAGCTGGACTCCTTGGGTTCAAATCCTAGACTTGTCACTTGACTTTGAGTAAGGAACTTAAATTTTTGTTAACTCAGATTTCTCCCAGTAAAATGGGAGTATAAGATAATACATTCTGGGTTGTAGAGAGGATTAAGTTAATAAAGTGCTTAGCATGAGGCCTGGTAAAGTTCTATGTAAGTGGGTAGCTATTACATGCCTGCTGTGTTATATGCTCCTTGAAGCTAAGAATTTGACCTTTATGAATACTTCCTTTGATAGGGTGCTAATCACTACGTGTAACAGGCCTTTTCAGTATTGGGTAGCTCTAATTATGTTCATCTTTGCATTGAGCTGCTACATACATCCTTGGTTCTAATTTTCCTTTTCTATGTATGATAACACTCATGTATCTGGGTTAAACATTTCATTCCCCTTACAATCCTGACTGTCCACCACAAGGAGCTCTCTGGTTTTGTTTTTTAAAAAATGAAGTATCCAGAACTGCACATAATACTGTAAATATAGTCTGACCAATTTATTAATTCTACAAATATTTATTGAGAACTTGCTACTGCCAGTACTGGGCTTGAACCATTGTGCTATTATCAACAATGGATTTGTAAACTATTCTTACGTTAAAGCAGCCTAAGATTGCATTTTTAGCATGCAATGAGCATACTGATGTCTAATTAAGCTTCTGATGAAATAAAATCTAATCTGCTGTTAAGCTTAGTCTCCTTCAAGTTCTCAGTCGTTTTTGTCCCACTTCCTACCCTATACTTCCCCACTCTCTCCACCTCTATCCCCTTGCAATGTAAGGGTTTATGTTATTTCATTGATTTTGGTTTACTACTTATCTTTTGAGATGGAGTCTTGCTCTGTTGCCCGGGCTAGAGTGCTTGGCGTCAGCCAAGCTCACAGCAACCTCAAACTCTTGGGCTCAAGCAATCCTACCTCAGCCTCCCAAGTAGCTGGGACTACAGGAGCACAGCACAATGCACAGCTAATTTTTCTATTTTTAGTAGAGATGGGGTCTCACTCTTGCTTAGGCTTGATCTTGAACTCCTGAGCTCAAGCGATCCTCCAGCCTCAGCCTCCCAGAGTGCTAGCATTACAGGTGTGAGCCACTGTGCGGGGCCATTTTGGATATTATTTCTGCCTCCAAATATATTAGCTACCCCACCAAGCTTTGAAATCTGAGAATCATGCTTGAGATTCCTTCATTTAAGTCAAAATTTCTGAACCTCAGCACTAATGACATTTTGGACTGGATGTTGTGAAAGGCTGTTCTGGGCATTGTAGAATGTTTAGCAGTGTCCTTGTGGCTTTATACACTAGTTGCTAGTAGCACAGCCCCCACAGTGGTGACAATCAAAAATGTCTCCAGACAGTGGTAAATATCCCTTGGAGGGCGAAACTGCCCCAGGTGTGAACCACTGAATCAAAGTCACAGCATTAGAGGATTAGCTTTAGTCTGACACAAATCCTCTCCGCAACTAGCTTAGTTCAAGCCCTCATCACCTCTTGCTTTAAACTAGTTTAACAATCTAAAACCTGGTCTCTCTGCTTCTTGTCAAGTACCCCTTAAACCCACCCCCCATTACTGCCAATGTTTCTAAAGTACAAATTTGACTTGAAAATTTCAACATGCTCTCTCCAGCCTACAGAAAACAAACTATTATACTTAATATAATACATATGATCCAGTACTTATCAAATTTTATAACTTCATTTTCCTATCCTCCAGCCACATAGAACTATTAACACTTAACAGCTTCAAAAACAAACGAAAATTTTCCTTACGCTGCCCGTTTTGTATGGCATGCCCTTCATACCATGACTTCATACCAATGACTGCCAAACCCAACCAGCCTCAAAAACATCTCAGTCACATCCTTTCTAAAGGCCTCCCCCATCTTGGGCTAACATTCATTCATTCATTTAATCAACGAAACATTTACTGACTTTTGACTTATGCCTGGAACTGGGAACATAGCAATGAACAAAGCCCCAGCCTTCAACATTCTAGTGGGGGTATGGAAAGTGTGTATGTCCGTACATAATTTTAGGTAGCTACAAGTGCTATGAAGAAAAATGGAGCAAGGTAAGGCACAGAACAGGGGAAAGAGTTTTTAAGAGGGTCAGATAAGAGGGTTGTTGAGCCAACGACCTGGGGAAAAGAGAGAAGACAAATAGAAAGATCCCGAGGCAAGAATGAACTTGGCACTTTTCAAAGGAACAGCAAGGCCAGTATAGTTGGAGAAGGAACTAAAAAGAGAATAGAAAGACATGGAATCAAGAGGTAGGATGGGATTAATTCATGTCAGATCTTCTGAGTTATGCTAAATTTGGATTTTATTTCAAGTGGGATGGGGAGCTCTGGAAGGCTTTAGGTGAAGGACTGACCTTTAGGTGAAGGCTTTAGGTGAAGGACTGCTTATTCTCACAATAGTGAGAATGGGCAGTAATGAGACAAGAATAGAGATGCAAGACTAATTAAGGGACTACTGAAATAGCCTAGGTGAAAGTTGGTGGTGGTTTGTACTTCAGTAGGAGTGGTAGGAGAAGAAGTAGTCAGAGTCTACACGTAATCTAGAAAAAGAGCCTTGCTCAAGTACTGGATATGGAATGTGAAAGAAAATCAAGGATGGTCCTTGTATCTTGTATATACAGTTATTTTACTTATGACCTGTATCACAATTATTTGTTTCCATGTTTGTGTGGAATCCTTTTTCTCTGATAAGTTGGAAGCAGTCAATTATAGCCTAACTTTATTGCATGCGCAAGACTTAATTACAGATAAATTAAAACCACTTTTCAAGCCATAAGATAGTTACCAAATTTTGCAAGCTTTAGGACTAAGCTTGGAACTGAAAAGAGAAATCTCAAAGAAAACTGACATATCTTATGAAATAATTTTAACAGTAACAGCTAACATTTACTAAGCCCACTATGTACCAAGCACTGTTTTTAGAGTTTCACGGGATTTAAATCTCTTATTTCTCACAACGTACTATTATCTCCATTTTGCAGATGAGGAAATTGACATCATACAACTAGTAAGTGGAAGAGCCAGGTGTACCCTGCTCTAGCTTTGGAGCCCTCACCCTAAACCACTACTTTATACCTGCCTCCCCTCCTAGATTGTGAGCTCCATGACTGCAGGTACTTAGCCTTACTCTTTTTTTTTATCCTTGGTTATGTGGGTGGCAAGATAATTACTTGCTGAATCAATGAAAGATTTTTCTGACTCTTAGGATCAGGCAGTAAAAAGTAGGAATCCGGGAGACAGACTGAAAACAACATGCTTCACTGTTTTACTTAACAAAATTTGTTCTTGTTTATGTAATCTAATAACTCTGATTCAGGATGTGGCTACTACTTCTAGTCAAAGGTCACAAAGGAGAGGGGCAGCCTTAGAAGACAGCAGAACCAGTTTCTAGTTTATGTAGAACACATTACTTATTCTCTTCACGTCTTTGCCATTAGGTGATATGGCGACATTCCTGGTAGTTACGGGAACAAGTGTTTGAATGAGGTTTAAGCGCCCCAAAATTATCTGAAGAAAGTAAATTTCTGGCCTAAAGCTAAGAGGAGGAAACCAAGAAACGAAACGAGATGATAAAAACAAGGACGAAGGGGAGCATTACACTCCTCACACTTACCCTGGACCTAGGAGGGCTGAGTTCTTCAGGCAGGGGGCTGCAGATACACAAGGCGCAGGTCAGCAAAGTCAAGGTGAAATCTAGTTTGCCCCTTCCTCGTCCCCACGGGGCCCGATCTCTAGGCCATGTACCCCTCTTTCCCGTCCCCCAAGAGCCCGCGCTTCCTTCCAAAGGCGCTGATCACTCCCTACTCAGGCCCAAGTGTCCCTGCGCCTTTCTTCTCCGCCATGCCCCCTCTCCATGACCCTCTAGGCTCGCTTCTTTCCAATCACTCAGACAGTCAGACCAGGCTCTATACCCCTCACCCGCTGTGGCGGCGGCAGAAAGCACCACTCGGGACAGCATGCTCAGCGAAGGTCCACGCAGCGGTCTTAACGTCCCTGTGACCCCGACAGGAGAACCTGTCAGGGACAGCAGCAAGATGGCCGCTGGCAAGTCTCGCGAGAAGAGAACTTCGTACCCCTTTTTCCTTTAACTTTCGTCGGCAGGTTTTTTCTCGCGAGAACAGGCACAGAGCCTGTTGCTGGGGGGCGGTCGCGCGAAAGCGGTATGGAATCGTAGAAGCAATGCTCGCGAGATGTAGAGTTGCTGCGGCCTCCAGAGAGGGGCGGAGGTCCAGAGGTACACCACGTGGGGATTACTCTCAGAGCTGAGTCTTCGGCCGGCGTCCAGTTTGGCTCTAGGTGAAAGTTGGAACCGTGGAGATGCGGAAGGAAACCCCGCCCCCCCTAGTACCCCCGGCAGTCCGCGAGTGGAACCTTCCCCCTAATGCGCCCGCCTGTATGGAACGGCAGTTGGAAGCTTCGCGGTACCGGTCCGGTGAGCCGAGATCCCGAGCCCTCTCCCTGGCCCGAGTCGCCCCTCCTCGGGACTGACCCTCCCAGCCTTCCCTCGCCCTGCATGCCACCCTGACCCCTGGCTCGCGTCGCCGAGCGGTCCCCAGTTCTGCCCACCGCGTTCCTGAGCTTATGTCCAGACCCGGCCCCAGCCCGCGTGCTGTTCTCTGCGGTCACCATGGAGACGAGCCCTTCCACTCCCTCACGCGCTGACAGCTTGTACCCTCGTAGATGGGGCGCTTCTGCTCGGGGCCTCCAGCCTGAGTGGCCGCTGCTGGGCCGGCTCCCTCTGGCTTTTTAAGGACCCCTGTGCCGCCCCCAACGAAGGCTTCTGCTCCGCTGGAGTCCAGACGGAGGCCGGAGTGGCGGACCTCACTTGGGTAGGGGACAGAGGTATCCTAGTGGCTTCCGATTCAGGTGAGTCACTTTCCCCTCATCCCCCTGGTGGAATGGAGCCTTGGGGTACAGACGGATCGGGCCGGGCTCAATCTTTAATGTCCCATACTCAGTGCTTGGAGGAACTGAGAGTGTTGGCCTCAAATGCAAATTCTTGTGTAGGTGGGAAATGCCTTTTCCAAAATTCTAAATTGTCCGGTGGGATTTCCTAGAAAAATCTATAACATAATTAAGAAATGGATTGGAGGGTCGGGCGCGGTGGCTCACGCCTGTAATTCTAGTACTCTGGGAGGCCGAGGCAGAAGGATCGCTTGAGCCCAGGAGTTTGAGGTTGCTGTGAGCTAGGCTGACGCCACGGCACTCTAGCCTAGGCAAGAGAGTGAGACTGTGTCTCAAAAAAAATTAAAAAAAAAAAAAAGAAATGGATTGGAACCATTTTTCTTCTGTTTAACCTACTTCCAAGCCTGCAGCCCAGACCGAGGGCAATCTTGGTTTTAAAGATGATGCTGAAGCTAATCTGTCCTACCTGTCTCTTCCCATTTCTTCCCATATTCTTCTTAATTGTCTTCATTCTGCTTTCTTGTGAATGTCAGGCTCAGCAATGGAGTCTTTAGCATTAAAAAAAAAATCAGAAGTTGGAAGTTGGCAGGCATTGCATGGAAGTTTAAAAGTCCCACTTTTTTAAAAGATTGAGCTTCTCTGACAGTTGAGCTTGAATACTACATATTCAAGATAACTTTTGGGGAGTTTTCTATACTTAACCTAGTCACTGTGCAAGACAGTCAATTATTCAACATTTTTTTTAAAGATTCTGCAAGGCATTTATTCAAGTAGTTCAGGAAATATTTATTAGCGTCCAAAGAATTGGGCAGGGTTAACATCACTGTACTGTGTGCTGCTTATGCAATTGTGGAGACTCCATTCTTATTTTCTGGGAACTGATTTTCCAGTGTTCTCTCACTAGAAGCAGAATAATGGCTTTAACAGGGTGGTCCATCTTTCCCTGTCTCTTTCTGGAAGCTTTCCCCACCTAGTTGTCTGTGCTGTCATTAGGAAAACAGTAATACAACATAAAGCCAAAGGCTTGGAAGTTAGCTAAAACCTGTGATGATGCGGACTTTGCTTTTATAGGAATAACTTAATTTGTTAGTTTAGTGACAGCGACTACTTGAAACCTAGAAGTGAATTACTGTCTTGGTATAATCCAAGCTTATGTTTCTCTCACCTTCCCACCCTATTCCACCCCCAACAGGTGCTGTTGAATTGTGGGAGCTGGATGAGAATGAGACACTTATTGTCAGCAAATTCTGCAAGTATGAGCATGATGACATTGTGTCTACAGTCAGTGTCCTGAGCTCTGGCACACAAGCTGTCAGCGGTAGCAAAGACTTTTGGTGGGTCCCTGTTCTCATTGCTGCCATCTATGGGCCTCCTTTGGGTGTTCTTACTATCCTGTTAACCTCATTAAGTTATGTTTTGGTCTTATTATAAGAACCCAGTGACTACTTACAGCATGTCTGTAAGGTTTCCTTAGAGATTTTGCAGTCCCTTATAAATAGACCATAGCAGGAGTCCAGGAGGCAAAGACATGGGACATGTTGATTAAAGAAAGTTCTTGTTTGAACACGTGTTTATATTAAGAGTGTAGGTCAAGATTAAGTGTCTTTCTCCTTTTGCTTCTTAGCATCAAGGTTTGGGACCTTGTTCAGCAGATGGTACTAAATTCATACCGAGGTGAGTATTCCTTTCTTTCCAGTCCTGGCCTTAGTTGTTTTATTTTTATTTTCCGCTTTGGGCTCTTTGGACTTTTCTTGGACCTTAGGAGCAGCGGTTCCATGTTCTCCTGTCTGATAGTTTTTTTCTAAAACTATAATCAGACTCCAATATCTATCCCTTATCCTTTTCTCAATTTCCCTATTTCTATTGATGGTCTCACCACCTTCTTAGCTACACAGAGCTCAAACTCTCAGTCCTTTTTTTCATTCCTCCTGTTTCCCCCACTGTCAGTTGTTCACCAGGTTCTCTTGGGTCTTTTTCCACTTACTTGGTCAGTCACCTTCCTATCCATTTCTTGCTGCCCATTCACTTTCAGGCTTTACCTCACCTACAGTGGCACTCATCTCTCCACTTATAATCTTTGGGTCTTTTGATCTTTCATTGGGTTTTTTTGGCCTGTACATTAAAATCCCATTTTCTTATCACAGCATTTAAGCCCTGTTACTGTTATTCCCTGTTCAAGCATACCACACTAACTTAACCTAGTCACAGTGGATCCTTGACATTCTCAAGGGATAAACTATGAGACTTGTGAATCTCGAACTTTTGAATATTTACCTCTACAATATATCTATTTTTCTGGCGAGAACCATCTCTTTAATGTTCCTTTTTCTGCTTACTTTCACTAACAGCACTAGCAGTTGACTTTATTTTGGGAGCCCTTCTTTGTGAAGATAATTTCTAGAGCCTTAATGTGTGTGTGGCTGTGAGATTCAGCTATACTATACTTCTCTTGCCTTTTATTTCTTAGACATATGATGTGCTTTCCTGGTTAATGCTAACTCTTTTTCAGCACTGCCCCCATTCAGCCTTTCCCATTAGTTCTTTGTGTTTGTGTTTGATTCCCTTCACTGAATTCCAAATCGTTTGAGGGTAGAGGAACCATGTGTTCTTCATCTTTTGTATACCACCGTGGTGCTTGTCCCAGAGATTTGCTTTTTTTCAAGTGAGCAATTAATTCCTTTTCTGACTTGTTATCCCGTGGCTTTCTATGGACTCTAAGGCTAGGAAAGAACTGGGGAAGGCGATTTAATCCTGTCCTTCTGCTTCAGGGTAGGCCCATATTCAGACTACCTTGGAAAGTCTGATTAAATCACTTTAGAGAAAGTGTTTTCCACAGCCTCTAATTCATATGTAGCAGTGATTTTCAAAATTGAAGTAGTTATAAAGAAGGTTATTTCTGGCATGTCATTTATTATACACTTACTTCAAGCATATGTTTGTCAAAGTTTTGAATTTGTAGATTAAGCCTATTTAATTTATGCAAAATGTCTACCGAATAGCATAACTGGCAAAAGCCAGTCTGCATTGTTAAGCCAGTTGGCCAAGTTAGACTAAACTTTCTGTCAGAAAAAGTCTGACTTCATTTTTAAATTCAGATAACTTGTCGGATATATACTTATGACAAGCATCTGTCATATTTTTTAGTTCTTATTATTAGACAGAAACAAAAGTAAGTCACAGAACCACATTTGTGTTTATGGTGTGACTGAAGGGGATGTCTTTCTTTTGCTTTTGGCTCTTAGGGAAAAGCC